TGTTAGGTCTTTAAACTAGGAATAGTGGTATGGGTTTTGGCGGGAAAACAGTGAAGTCCCAGTGTAGTAATATGAGTACTAGGAGAACTAGTAATAGCCAAAAAGAGGTGGATATTGGAAAGCCAGTGACACTAGGTGACAAGGACAGTAAGAGGTTTAGTGGAATAACAGAAAGGAGCAGGAAAGGTAAAGAGAAAGGAGGGTCCTTAAATATATATTACACAAATAGTCATAGTGCTAGGAATAAGATGGACGAGTTGAGACTAGTTGCTAGTGCAGGTAACATTGATGTATTTGCCTTAACTGAGACGTGGTTCAATGCGAAAAATCGGGACATGCCTGCTGAATGTCACATGCAGGGTTTTAAATTGTTCCAAGTAGACAGAAGTATCGGGAAGGGGGTGGGGTGGCACTATATGTCCGAGATCGCTTGAACTGTTGCAGAAAAATGGGTAGTATTAAGTCTGAAGTAACACATATAGAGTCTGTTTGGATAGAATTTTCAGAGGGACATGAAAAATTTATTTTAGGTGTGATATACCGTCCCCCAAACTTAGATAGGGACCAAGGGAGACTACTATGGGAGGAAATTGTTAAGGCCACAAGGCATGATAACGTAGTAATTCTAGGAGACTTTAACTTTAGTCATATTGATTGGAATTTCTTGGCTGGGAATTTAGAATCAAATGACTTCTTAGAAGTAGTTCAGGATTGTTTTTTGAAGCAGTTTGTCACAGAGCCTACAAGGGGAAATAACCTGCTTGACTTGGTTTTGGCAACAAGGAAACCCTTGTTGTTAATTTAGAAATTATGGAGGAACTCGGCACAAGCGATCACAAATCAATTACCTTTAGCATTGAATGGAAGTATGATAGTGGGGATAATTCAGTACTGGTCCCAGATTTTCGCTTAGCAGATTATAATGGGCTTAGAGAACACTTTTCTGTGGACTAGGGTAACGAAGAGAGCTATCAGTATGACAGTTTTCTTAACACAATACATGCTGCCCAAAGGACATTTATCCCATATAAGGAAATTAGATCGAATAGAAATGACCACAAATGGATGAATAATAGGCTCAGATATCTTTTAGGACAGAAAAAAGGAATTTATAGGCGCATCAAAAGTGGTGAGAGTCATCTTGTGAATCGGTATATTGACATTAAGAGGGACATTAAAAAGGGGATAAGAAAAGCTAAACGGGACTATGAAATTAAAGTTGCTAGGGATTCTAAAACTAACCCAAAAAGTTTTTTCCAGGTTTATAGAACAAAAGTTAGAGATAAGATAGGTCCCCTTAAAAATAACTCTGGGCATCTCACTGACAAGGAGAATGAAATGTGCTCTATTCTTAATAATTATTTTCTCTCGGCTTTCACTCAGGAAGACTAACAATGTCCCAGTAATTAATTTTTATAGTGGGCCTGATGATGATGAATTATGCAATATCACAGTCACTACCGAATTGGTTATCAAACAGATAGACCGGTTAAATCAAAATAAATCCCCGGGCCCTGATGAACTTTTTTCAAGGGTTCTTAAAGAATATAAAATGGAACTTTGGGAAGCATTAACTAATATTTCTCTTCAAACAGGTGTAGTGTCTGATATGTGGAAGATGGCTAATGTAATTCCTATTTTTAAAGCAGGGGACAAGTCGTTACTGTCAAATTACCGCCCAGTAAGCCTAACCTCAATTGTAGGCAAATTACTAGAGTCAGTTATGGAAAGCATATAAATCTATAGGGGAAGGAAGGCGAGGTAGGGGTCGTCCTCGAAAGGGTTGGAGAGAGGGGGTAAAGGAGGTTTTGTGGGCAAGGGGCTTGGACTTCCAGCAAGCGTGCGTGAGCGTGTTAGATAGGAGTGAATGGAGACGAATGGTACTTGGGACCTGACGATCTGTTGGAGTGTGAGCAGGGTAATATTTAGTGAAGGGATTCAGGGAAACTGGTTATTTTCATATAATCGGACTTGAGTCCTGGAAATGGGAAGTACAATGCCTGCACTTTAAAGGAGGAGTTTGGGATATTGGCAGTTTGGAGGGATATGTTGTGTATCTTTATATGTGTATGCTTCTAAACTGTTGTATTCTGAGCACCTCTGCAAAAACAGTGATTATGTGTGAGTGTGGTGAAAGTGTTGAATGATGATGAAAGCATTTTCTTTTTGGGGATTTTCTTTCTTTTTTGGGTCACCCTGCCTCGGTGGGAGGCGGCCGACTTGTTGAAAAAAAAAAATATTATATCTGATAATATAAGAAGCCATCTCGATAAGCACAGCTTGATTAATGATACTCAGCACGGATTCATGAGGGGCCGTTCCTGCCTAACTAATTTATTAACCTTCTTCAGTAAAGCTTTTCAGGCCGTTGATCATGATGAAGAATTCGATATTGTTTATTTAGATTTTAGTAAGGCTTTTGATAGAGTACTGCACCAGAGACTGTTAAAAAAAATGGCAGCTCATGGTATTGGGGGAAAAGTGCTGTCATGGATCGAGTCATAGCTCACTAATAGGAAGCAGAGAGTATGCTTAAATGGGGTTAAATCCGAGTGGGGATCTGTAACAAGTGGCATACCACAGGGATCAGTCTTAGGCCCGTTGTTGTTTATAATATATATCAGTGGCCTTGATGAGGGTATTACTAGTGATATGAGCAAATTCGCCGATGACACAAAGATAGGTAGGATAATTGATTCAAACGTAGATGTTAAGGAACTTCAGGAGGATTTAGACAAACTCTATTCCTGGTCAGAAAAGTGGCAGATGCAGTTTAATGTAGATAAATTCAAGGTTCTGAAGCTCGGGAGTGTCCATAACCCTAGCACTTACAAGTTAAATAATGTAGAACTTAGCCATACAGATTGCGAAAAGGACTTTGGGGTTATGGTAAGCAGCAACCTTTATCCAAGACAGCAATGCTTAAGCGTACGTAATAAGGCAAATAGATTATTGGGATTTATATCAAGAAGTGTAAGCAACAGAAGTCCAGAGGTTATACTGCAGCTTTATACATCATTAGTAAGGCCTCACCTAGATTATGCAGCTCAATTCTGGTCTCCATATTACAGAATGGACATAAATTCGTTAGAAAACATTCATAAGAACATAAGAAAGGAGGAACACTGCAGCAGGCCTGTTGGCCCATACTAGGCAGGTCCTTTACAATCCATCCCACTAACAAAACATTTGCCCATCCAATTTTCAATACCACCCAAGAAATAAGCCTTGTTAACCCTATTCACTCATATGCTAGTCCCACTCAAATCCAACCTCTCTCACTCATGCATTTATCTAACCTAAATTTGAAACTACCCAAGGTTTTAGCCTCAATAACCCAACTAGGTAGACTTTTCCACTCATCAACTACCCTATTTCCAAAACAATACTTTCCGATGTCCTTTCTAAATCTAAACTTGTCTAATTTGAATCCATTACTGCGGGTTCTCTCTTGGAGAGATATCCTCAAGACCTTATCTATATCACCTTTATTAATACCCATCTTCCACTTATACACTTTGATCATGTCTCCTCTCATTCTTCGTCAAACAAGTGAATGTAATTTAAGGGTCTTCAATCTTTCTTCATAAGGAAGATTTCTAATGCTGTGTATTAATTTAGTCATTCTATGCTGAATGTTTTCTAACGAATTTATGTCCATTCTGTAATATGGAGACCAGAACTGACCTGAATAATCTAGGTGAGGTCTTACTGATTATGTATGAGGCCTTACTAATGATGTAATGAGGCCTTACTAATGATGTAAAGGCAGTATTGTATTAGATTTCCCTACAATATATTGGGGCACCAAACATTCGTGAGGCTCTTGATCCCCTAACCCTACGACACTAAAACCAAACGTGGTGTAATTATAGGCTTCTTCCTACGTGCACTCAGAATCTGCAGCAATGAGTTTCTTGAAGAAGAATGCACGATGATTGAACAAGTATTTTCTAAACTCCACTATCCTCGTCACTTCATCAGAGACTGCAGACGACGGGCATTAAACATCTTCAACACACCCAGAGAAGACACTGCCGAGAAGAGATACATAGTCCTCCCCACCAACTCCATTGCCAAACACGTTTCCAACATCTTTTCCAATACCTCATTTCAAGTATCTACCTCCACAACCACGACCATCAAGGACATTACCAGTGATAGACAGGACAAGCTTCCACCCTCTGCAGGGGTATACACAATCCCTTGTAATGACTGCAACAAGTTATACGTTGGCGAAACATCAAGGGACCTCCAAACACGTATTTCAGAACACCAATACGCAAGCAGGTCTGACGACACAAGGAATGCCTGCGTACAACACCGTAATTCACACAACCACTTGATAAACTACAGAAACTCAAGACTTATCGCCACAGAAGACAACACTCAATACCGAAGAATCCTGGAATCATCACTTATTTCTATATCCGACAACTTCAACCAGAATAGTGGCTTCTATAACATAGCTGAACCACTTGCCAAGAAGCTTCTTCGTCGTTATCCCACATAAGAACACTGTAGAAGGTCTGCTCACAAACTTGTCCAATCTCCTTTCCAAGCTACCCAAGATTTTAGACTCTATAACCCCACTCGGTACATCATCAGATGCAGCATTCTCCACCTGACCTCAGCATTCTGAACCTGACTATAAATACTCGCGTTCCTTCCACCCCAGGTAGTTCTGTTTGTGACTTGAAAAAGCCCACTGTGTGGGCGAAACGTAGTCAATAAAGGATCACATTATACTGTATATGTGTTTATATTTCCATTGTGTCGGTATTTTATACCATTTATTTCCATCCCCTAACCCTCGCGAATTTTGAGGGAGACCTCTAGTCATGTATACTTGCAGATTTAAGGCTTTCACAATGTTGTGAAATTATTGTTTCAAGCTTAAATTGTTATGTGGCCAAATTTTTGACTGAGTCTTACTTGTTAAGATGAAGTAATGTTGTATATTATGCTAATTGATGTTGTAATATTATATACCATTACAGGTACTGGCGGAATCTGGATTCACGGAGAAGTTAGCACAGATGCCCATAGTATTAATACCAGTACACTTTGATCGGGACCCAGTTGCACGTTTACCCTCCTGCCAGCGGTCTGTGGTCCTGAGACCCTTCATAACACATGACTTCATGACTGGTATACCTGCACTGCCAGGCAAACACATCCCAGTTGAGGTAAACCTGGAGGTTATAGGCAGTAGTAGAAAGTTATTTTGTTTGATAGGCTTAGAGCTGTTATCATACATCAGCTCATTTCAGTGTCCAGTGCTGTCTAAAATTTACTACCAAATACACAGGATGCCACCCATAACAGTTGGCTAACACCTAAGTGTATTAGGTTAGGTAAGATTTGTCAGGAAATAGCACAAGTGTTTCCTGACGTGGGTCATTGTCCTACGATGACTTGCAGCTGGAGCTTTTGTTCATCTGACCGAGGCCTTTTCTGGCTTACAGGGCCATCCCTTTTAAAACTAAGATTATTGAAAAAAAATTTTAGTAATATATTCTTTTTGGCACCTAGGTACAGTACCTATTTACTGCTAGAAAGCAGGGGGAGCAGGTGTAAGGAAACATTTATACCTACCCCTCAATCAAACTTGGGTTCTTCAGTCATTAGGAAATACATTTTTTTTTATTTTTATTTATTAGCACACTGGCCGATTCCCACCAAGGCAGGGTGGCCCGAAAAAGAAAAACTTTCACCATCATTCACTCCATCACTGTCTTGCCAGAAGGGTGCTTTACACTACAGTTTTTAAACTGCAACATTAACACCCCTCCTTCAGAGTGCAGGCACTGTACTTCCCATCTCCAGGACTCAAGTCCGGCCTGCCGGTTTCCCTGAACCCCTTCATAAATGTTACTTTGCTCACACTCCAACAGCAATGAGGAAGTCTTGTACTATATTTTTTCTTTTAACACACCGGCCATATCCCACCAAGGCAGGGTGACCTAAAAAGAAAAACTTTTGTTTTTCTTTTTAAATTTAGTAGTTTATACAGGAGAAGGGGTTACTAGCTCCTTGCTCCCTGTGTGTTAGGCACCTCTTGCAAAATGCATGTCTTATGGAGGAAGATTTCTGTTCCACTCCCCCATGGAGAATTATTGTTTGTTGTTGTTGTTATGATGTTATCCAGACTGATTATTACATGTTCGGTTTGTTTTACCTTGCATGTGCCGCATGTCTGGTACAGTAATCTGTTGTGTTGAAAATCTTGCTAAGTCTTTTTGTGACTTAACAATTATTAATACTACTAACACATTTTATAAATTATTCTTGTATATATGTATACATTACTCTTCTCTACAGTATTAAAGGTGGCAGGTTTTTTTTCTTTTTATAGGGGGGATAATAGAGATTCAATAAATGTGTTTCCTCCCTAGTAAAGAGCCTACTGGGTTATGCTCAGTATTTTGTATGTTGAAGTCATGTGCAAGACAGTGGTGGAGTGAATGATGGTGAAAGTTTTTCTTTTTTGGGCCACCCTGCCTTGGTGGGAGACTGCCGATGTGTTAATAAAAATATTCCCCTGAATTCGAGCACCAGTGTGTGGCCATTCCTTTGAATTTTCTGGCATTTACTCTGTTTACATAGGTGAGGGTTGTACACTGATGCTGCATCAAGACAAGGTCACTTGTATGAGGAAGTGTCTTGTGACCATGTCTTGATCATGGTCAAGTGTCCCTATTGCTGTGACATCAAAGATAGCTCGCCTGTTAGTGTTTGTAGCGATCTTGTCTTTGTCTATGTGAGGACTCCACACTGTGGCAATACTAAGAATAGGTTGTGTATGAGAGAGAGAGAGCGGGTGTGCTAGAACAAGTACGAGTACTCACCTGTATCTGGTCATTCAAGGTAAAAGACTACATTCACTCTGCATGAGAATATTAATCATATAAAAGTGTTCTTGAGTACAGCTAAGGACTCCCCTATTATAATTCCTTTTATATGTAACATTTTGTTGTTGAGTTTTTAAAATATTAAACCATAAGGAATTATTTTAAATGGGCAGGATTCTATTTTCTGTCTTTCATTTCAGCTGGTAAACAAAATGGTTGCAGAAATTCTTGGAGTCCCCGGGATAAGTCGTGTTCTGTACGACTTAACCTCCAAACCACCGGGAACAACTGAATGGGAGTGACCAATCTAGTACCCGTTATCAGCCAATATTGAATAGCTGAAGATAAGAGGACAATGAAGGATATTGTCCTTCCTGTTAAAAAATCCATTGGATGCCTTGGATGAGTGGAAGATTGATTAGAGGCCAAGGTGAACTCAACCATAACTCAGGTCAGGATGAGAGCAAATCCAGCAATGCTGAGACACGACAGTGTGCAGCAACTTGTGAATCCGCTCAGTAGTTGACTCTGCCATAAGTGGAAAGGTAAAGGAAACTGGATTCTGTGTTTGGCACTTAAAAAGACATGAAAAGTATTTTATCCTTTGATAATTTTTTCAGTGACCCATATTAGAGAGTTTATCCATTAACTGAACAGTGTATGCCATGGACAAACAACTCCAACTTCATCAGTGCTTAGCCTCGGACAGTTCTGTGTACACTACCGGGCATATTCCTTGCTGCTCGGCTTTCATTACTCGCTACCAATTATTTACCGCACACAAACTTCGTTCCTTTGCTAACGATTTAGTACTGATGAATCTTTGTATGTTGGGGCAGATATGGAGAGAGGGAGGTTGAGGGGGGGGAGGGAAATGGTTGGAGTATGTACTGAATAGTAGTGCTGGAGGATACTGGTAGCTCAATATAGCTGTGATGATGTGGTCAGTTGCCATCAAGCATGAAGCAGGTGCTGGGGGAGTACAAGTGAGTTGTCTACCAAGTCATGCAAGAAACCAAATTATTATTTGTTAGTACAGCAGTCACCAGTTTATGGATGAGTTGTGTTGACATTGTTTCAACTTACAAATGAGTTGTACTCTTGGTGTTTGAATTAATGAATGAGTTGTACTCTTGGTGTTTGGATTAATGAATGAATTGTACTCTTGGTGTTTGGATTAATGAATGGGTTGCACTCCTGGTGTTTCAACTTAGGATTGAGTTGCACTCCTGGTGTTTTCAATTAGAGTTGAGTTACACTGTTGGTGTTTCAATTTAGGGTTGAGTTACACTTTTGTGTTTCAATTTAGGGTTGAGTTACACTCCTGGCATTTGAACTTAGGATTGAGTTACACTCCTGGCGTTTGAACTTAGGATTGAGTTACACTCCTGGCGTTTGAACTTGGATGGAGTTACACTCCTGGAGTTTGAACTTAGGATTGAGCTACACTCCTGGCATTTGAACTTAGGATTGAGCTACACTCCTGGTGTCTCAACTTAGGATTGAGTTGCACTCCTGGTGTCTCAACTTAGGATCGAGTTGCACTCCTGGTGTCTCAACTTAGGATTGAGTTGCACTCCTGGTGTCTCAACTTAGGATCAAGTTGCACTCCTGGTGTCTCAACTTAGGATCAAGTTGCACTCCTGGTGTCTCAACTTAGGATCGAGTTGCACTCCTGGTGTCTCAACTTAGGATCAAGTTGCACTCCTGGTGTCTCAACTTAGGATTGAGTTGCACTCCTGGTGTCTCAACTTAGGATTGAGTTGCACTCCTGGTGTCTCAACTTAGGATTGAGTTGCACTCCTGGTGTCTCAACTTAGGATTGAGTTGCACTCCTGGTGTCTCAACTTAGGATTGAGTTGCACTCCTGGTGTCTCAACTTAGGATCAAGTTGCACTCCTGGTGTCTCAACTTAGGATCAAGTTGCACTCCTGGTGTTTCAACTTAGGATCGAGTTGCACTCCTGGTGTCTCAACTTAGGATTGAGTTGCACTCCTGGTGTCTCAACTTAGGATTGAGTTGCACTCCTGGTGTCTCAACTTAGGATTGAGTTGCACTCCTGGTGTCTCAACTTAGGATCAAGTTGCACTCCTGGTGTCTCAACTTAGGATCAAGTTTGCACTCCTGGTGTCTCAACTTAGGATCAAGTTGCACTCCTGGTGTCTCAACTTAGATCAAGTTGCACTCCTGGTGTCTCAACTTAGGATCAAGTTGCACTCCTGGTGTCTCAACTTAGGATCAAGTTGCACTCCTGGTGTCTCAACTTAGGATCAAGTTGCACTCCTGGTGTCTCAACTTAGGATCGAGTTGCACTCCTGGTGTCTCAACTTAGGATCGAGTTGCATTCCTGGTGTCTCAACTTAGGATCAAGTGCACTCCTGGTGTCCTCAACTTAGGATCAAGTTGCACTCCTGGTGTCTCAACTTAGGATCAAGTTGCACTCCTGGTGTCTCAACTTAGGATCGAGTTGCACTCCTGGTGTCTCAACTTAGGATCGAGTTGCACTCCTGGTGTCTCAACTTAGATCGAGTTGCACTCCTGGTGTCTCAACTTAGGATCGAGTTGCACTCCTGGTGTCTCAACTTAGGATCGAGTTGCACTCCTGGTGTCTCAACTTAGGATCGAGTTGCACTCCTGGTGTCTCAACTTAGGATCGAGTTGCACTCCTGGTGTCTCAACTTAGGATCGAGTTGCACTCCTGGTGTCTCAACTTAGGAACTTAAGTTTGTAACCAAGAGCATTTTATTTTTTTATCCTATAGAAAACAATCAAACGAAGGGTAATTTTGTCACACTTTGGTAACTATTTTGCCACTTTCGTGACTTTTCTCTGTCCCTCATTCGTAAGTGCGGATCACTGTAACACATGCATTTGTAAGTCGGGCGACCCCATGTATAAATTAACATTTATATTCTTTACAGGCCTGTATTGCAATTTTATTTTCGCTGTTACTGTCATTGCAAGATATTTGGCCAAGTTTCATTAGGGTATGGTAACGTAATGAATGTGTAGCGTATGTTGCGTAATGCGTGTGTGTGTGTGTGCTGGCGGCTACGGCAGTTTCCACGCCAAAAAAAAAAGTTTCATGCAAACACCAAGAATTTTGTTTCTTTAATTTATATTTTTATAAAATCTAAAGTTCAATG